CATCTGGCTTACTAACGGTTGTGTGTGTGTGTGTGTGTGTGTGTGTGTGTGTGTGTGTGTGTGTGTGTGTGTGTGTGAAAAAGAAGTGTCAACAGTTACCTGAGTGACCGAGGTGGAGAAATATATCCGTTTCTGTGAAGGTTGAACAACTGCATGAGAATCCGCCTGCATACATTCTCACACACACACACACACACACACACACACACACACACACACACACACACACACACACACACACACACACACACACACACACATTTAACACACTAGGGGACACAGGTCGAAATTGAGTGCCCAAATGAGCCATAGAGACATTATATATTTTGTATGTTTTTGTCAGAGTGATTGACAAATGGAATGCATTAGGCAGTGATGTGGTGGAGGCTGACTCCATACACAGTTTCAAGTGTAGATATGATAGAGCCCAATAGGCTCAGGAACCTGTACATCAGTTATTTTACAATTAAGAGGCGGTACCAAACAGCCAGAGCTCAACCCTCCGCAAGCACAACTAGGTGAGTACACACACACACATTACAACAACGCTAGTTAGCGCAATATGTAGTTCCAGGCTCCACAAGCACTAATATAATTGCTGGCCCTTGACAAATTCCACCAAAGAAGATATAACAGAAAATGTAATGGCGTTGTCAGCATATGTCAATAAACCAATCAGAACGCGCGAACAGCTCCGTCTAAGAGAGTCAAAAAATGTCACACTCATGAAATATGAAAAAATGTGATGTGTCCATGTGAAAATATTAAGGCCATAGAATGGGTTCGAACCCGTGTAACCTGGGAGGTCCAAATATGTGGGTTTTATCCTATTGCCACAATATTTTCTCCGGGAATTTTCTTGTAACTCTCGACAAATCAGTTTAACTTCGGAAATTTGAAAACTCCGGAAAATATTAGTTTACAGTCGTTACTCGTGAGAAACTTTTTGGCTACCTGCAACTCGCAAAGTAACGGCTACTTTTCCGAACTGTAGCAGCGAAGGGCATACACTCTGAGCTGGGGCCTGGTAGCTGAGTGAACAGCGCTTGGGATTCGTAATCCTATGGCCTGGGATCGATCCCCAGTTACGGCGGAAACAAATGGGCAGTTTCTTTCACCCTAGCAGTAAGAAACCTAGTTTATTTTACCTAGCAATAAATAGGTACCTGGGAGTTAGACAGCCGTTACGGGCTGTCTAACACACACACATCCTGGGGATGTGTGTGTGAAAAAAAAAGTTGATTGAGAGGCGGGTCGAAAGAGCCAGAGCTCAACCCCCGCAAGGACAACTAGGTGAATACGTAGGAACAAAATACGTGAAATTTCAGAAGGCTTATTGACCCATCAACACAACCGGACTAATCATCCCCGATTAGCTTATCATGTATTACAAGGAATGCAACATGGTTGTTGTTGTTGTTATAGATTCAGCTACTCGAACAGGTTCCAAGTAGCGCGGGCTATGGTGAGCCCGTAATGGACTTACCTGGCACAGGAGCGGGGCAAGTAGCACGGGCTATGGTGAGCCCGTAGTGGACTTACCTGGCACAGGAGCGGGGTTGTCGCCTCCTTGGTATTCTCTCTCCACGTTCGCGTAGCGCTCCGCGTCCTGCCAGCTGTCAGGAGCTTCAGCAGATAAAATTATGGCGACGCACAAATGGCCCGCTAATTTCCTTCAATTTCCACATGTACGTGGTATGTGTGAATGATCGTGTTCAATTTTGCTGCCACACGTGCGCCTCCTCTTTCCTCCAGATGCACAATTAGGTCGAAAAATTCGACAGAATATCTCGACTCTTCTGTTTCCTCGAGCAGATACGCATTACACGCTGGGGCGGGTGCAAGGGAGAAATATCTGGGTCAGGAAACTCAGACACACACACACACACAATCAGCAAGCAACTTTATTGGGTATTCATGCCCATGCCCCGTCTTGGGTGGCTTAATCTTCATCAATCAAGCAAGCAACTGTAACGCAATGTTGCATCTCCAAACTATATATATAACATATATACATAATATATATATTATGTAAAATGCCTTAGGTATCAAATAATGAAATATTACTCGTCCATTCATTATATAATTTATATTATATTGAAGTATTATAATTTATCAAAGAAGCACAGGCATCTCTGGAGCCCTCCGTCACCCTGGCCTCCTATTGCTAACTTCCCAGCAGTCAAAATGACACGAAAGACGCAATGACCCGAGGGAGATGACAGCCACTCCGAGATCTCTCGTCGAGTTCACAGCCGCATCAAAACGTCCCCCCCCCCCGTTCCAACCTCCCCCCCCCCCCCCGTCCGAAATGGGGCAGGCGATGAACAGCCTCCCGTTCCCCCCTGTCATCCCCATCCAGGGTCGCAGAGCGGGTTAGTGACGGCAAAGCGGCCTCGTCCCACCGAGACAGTAGTGGTGGTGCGGGTGGAGGCTGGCAGTCAGTCTGCTCCGTGACTTCCTGAGGCACAGACACGGCGGGGAGGCAACACTCGCACACACACACACACACACGCACTCTGGAGAGCAAGGCAACACGGAGGAGGCCAGCTCGTCCACGTCGGGAGTGCCACGGTGGGCACTGTGGCATCAGTGCCTCGCTTCACCTCACCCACTGTCTCTCTCTCATCGTAATCTACAAATAGGTTAGTTACTCCTTAATTTTTTTTGTTTTTGGACAGAATCCAGGAACTGAAATTAATTTTTTGGCCAGGATTCATGAAGCATTTACGCAAATACTTACAAAACCTGTACATCTCCCCTCAATCATGGCGGCTTTGTTTACATTATACACTTTACGAACTTGGAACCTTCCCATTCCAAAGTCATTACTGTTATAAACAACCACGTAGCGCTTCGAAGCTAATAAACTCTTTAATAAATGTAAATCACATCAAAGCCGCCATGATTGAGAAAAAGATGTACAGATGTCGTAACCGGCGGCGTAAATCCTTGATGAATCGTAGCAACGTTCTTCCCCCCCCCCTTCTGTTAAACAGTGGTCAAATAATATAAGCGATGCAAACAACGCCTAGTGTCTGTGTGTGTCCAGCCAGCGTCAGTAGCCTCGCATGTAGGACATACGTAAATCTGTGTATCTATGTATTTACGTACGTAGGTAAGCTTAGCATTTTTATAGCACTATACAATCACCTTCTGTGGTTGATTGTTCAATAAATCCCTGAACTATATGTTTAACAAATCTCTCACCCTGTCCATGGAGGACAGAAGAAAATGTCTACATGCTGGTTAGCATTGTAACTGTGTGGCCACGTCTGAGGTAGACAAGCAAACCTCTTTTTTTTTTCATGTCGCTTTAACCAAGTGTAAGTAATGACTTACGCGGGTTGAGCTTCAGCTCCTGTGCCCCGTCTCTTAGTCTTCCATCGACTCGTGTAATTTCTCCATAATCCATTGAGTTCCGTTGTAATTTGTACTGACTCCGTGTATGCAAACGGAAAGGGAAATGGATAGACAGGAGAGGAAAAAGGATAGGAGTGACAGAAGAACATGAGAGAAAGAAGGACAGGAGAGGAAGGACAGAAGAGGAACAGATTTTTTTGTGGTGTGCATAAACGTCACTTTAAAATTTCTAACATAAATTTAATTAAATTTAATCTAATACTGTTTCGCCATTCTACCCTTTATTCTAGTTAATATTAACTTATTTTGCTGAGATCTATAATTATAATTATTATTATTTCTATTATTATATTACAGTTAGGGACTTAATGCAATATTGTTATTACTGTTTGCATTAGAGTAAGTGGTTTTAAATATTAAGTTTAATACTTTATACTGATGTTTAAAATATTGTTTTAATTTATTTTATATTTAATTCACATAGAATATTTTATATTATTTAATTTTGTTGACGTCTTTTTACGTTTAATTTTGTTTATTATTTAATGTAATTTTATATTTAATTTAATGTAATTAATTCTGTTAGTTATAACATTATTATATATTTGTATTTTGCTCTCACAGTTGGGTCAATAATACTCTGTAGAAAATATTTAGTGACAATGTACGAGAGAGAGAGAGAGAGAGAGAGAGAGAGAGAGAGAGAGAGAGAGAGAGAGAGAGAGAGAGAGAGAGAGAGAGAGAGAGAGAGAGAGAGAGAGAGAGAGAGAGAGAGAGAGAGAGAGAGAGAGAGAGAGAGAGAGAGAGAGAGAGAGAGAGAGAGAGAGCGGAGAGAGAGAGAGAGAGATAGAGAGAGAGAGAGAGAGAAGAGAGAGAGAGAGAGAGAGAGAGAGAGAAGAGAGAGAGAGAGAGAGAGAGAGAGAGAGAGAGAGAGAGAGAGCCCCCTTAGTCATCACTAAGTGGCTGTAATAACCACAAACCAAAACAACACTTACCGAACTGAGTTATCTCTGGTGCTTGCGGTCATAATCATTACGAGGATGGCATTCAGCCGTGTCCAGGCAACCAAAAACTTATATCAGAAGTTTCTTGTGCAGTTACGTGCGCCTGCGTAAGCCGTGTTGACGTTTTTGCCATTAGTCTGTGGCTTATGTCAGCATTTTTGTGACGGGTGATGCGTGTATGACAGTCAATACGCGCCTAGTTGGGCTTGTGCTTCTAATGACAATCGACTTGAGAATGGTCCAGGACGGTCCGAAACGTCGTCGTCCCTTCACCTTCTTGTGTGTGGTCTGGTCAACTTACTTTAGCCACGTTATTGTGACTCATCGCTTGCTTGTGCTTCTAATCTTGAGTTTCGCCTCTCAACCCTCAGTATATGGGTTACCCGAATTATTTTCTTTTGTGAGGGTCTGTTCTTTTTTCATATGGTTCTGCTTCTCTAAAATGTAATAGTTTTTGTTGTGCAAGATGGTAAACTTGACATCACTGAAGTTTGATGGATGTCACTGGCAAATTATTAGTTGTTTATAATGCACAAAAACACACACACTTAAATTATAATTTAAGCATCAATAGTTATGTAATAATATCACAAGTTCTAAGTATACATGTCGACTGTATCCTTCCAGAGCTTTCGGGAGGACCACAACACACACCTTGGTTAACCATGCTTACCTCGCTACTCTTCGCCTTCGGCCTCCTGCTGGCGTCGTCAGAGGCCAAGACCTTCAGGACGAACGAAGACCCCATCGGTACGTCGAGTCCAATCGACACAGCGCGCCAGTCGGTGCTGGCAGTGATGAAGAGCGTCCTCGGTGTTGGAGGACCTGGAGACGCCGTTGGTAATGTCGGCTCACTGGTTATGCCGATGCTTCTTCAGCAGATAGGTGGTGCCGCGGGCTTCAAAGATCTCATCTCCGATAGCCTCGGGCTTCACGAAGACTTCTTGAAGCCTGTGATGAAAATCTTAGAAGGGATGAATAAGCTTGGAGATGTTTCCCCCAAGTCCTTCGGTAACAGCATCAAGGACGGCCATGAGGGCGACGATGAGGGAGAGTCTGACCATTCAGCCTCGGAATGGACCAACATTAACCACCAGTTTTTGGATGTGGTGAAGAGTGCTTTGGAGGAGGAGCTCGGGGAATTGCCGTCTCTGCTGCCGACGACTGCTGTAGGAGGCTTCAAGGACGGTGGGAACGAGGACATGAGTCCATCCGGTGTATGGATGCTGGTTAAGTCCACGTGGCAGCGGGTCCTATCCTACATGGAAGAGGAAAACGCCCTCCCATCCTTCATGCAACTTATGCCGGTAAGGATTATCGACCGCGTCGTCAACCTCGGAGACGACCTCAACCTCATCAACTTCTTGGCCAAAAAGCTTGACAGGGACTTCGCAGAGTTCATCGCAGAGGAGATCAACCCGTATCTCGGGCCCCTGAAAAGCTTCGACAGCTTCTACAACTTCACCAGAGAGAACGGCCTGAGCGGCGTCCTGGACTACTTCAGGAGCAAGAACTTCGGCTACACCATAAGCGCGATGTCCCGTTTCATAACCGCCTACTTCGACGACTCTTTCTCCGACGACCTGGCGGACCAGTACATCGCCTTCATATCCTTCAACAACACTGATCTGTACAACTTCTACTCGTCGCTGCTGAGGAGTCACAAGTCCTCGGGCGGGGAGGACGCGGGTCCCGGCGGGAGGGTCAGGAGGGAGGAGCTCCAGAAGGCCACCAAGGAGTACAAATTCAACGGATACGACTTCCAGCCGAAGGCAATTCAGGATGATTCAGTTCGTGACCTGGCCAGAGACGGCGGGTATGGAGGCGGCGGCCAGAGCAGCGGGGGCGGCTATGGCGGCTCTGGTGGCGGCGGCGGGTATGGCGGCGGTGGTGGAGGATATGGCGGTGGTGGCGGTGGATATGGCGGTGGTGGCGGAGGATATGGCGGTGGTGGCGGTGGATATGGCGGTGGTGGCGGTGGATATGGTGGCGGAGGCCACAGCCAACCCAGCAGCGGAATGATGATCGACCCGTCTGTAGTGTTGAGCTCCGTGGCCATTGGGGCACTTCTGGGATTCCTGCTCTTCCGCCTCATCCGTGGCACTCGCAGAGGCCGGCGGGACATCGGCGACGGGTCGTTGTCCCTGTGGCTGTCGGACATGCCCGACAAGGTCCTGCCGTGGGACTCCAGCGTCCAGCGCATGAAACGACACGCCCAAAGCTTCAACGTGACTGGAGAAGAGGAGTTCAACTTGCCGGACTCCTTGAGAGGCAACGTGTGGTCCTCTGATCCCGTGGTGGGCGACGACCTGCTGGAGGAGGACCTCGAGGAAGACGACGTCGCCGACCACCTCAACCACCTGTGGAGGGTGTACAAGCACAGCAACGAGACCGCCTGCGTCCACTACCACCTGTGTGACGTAATGGCCAACAGCACAGCAGAGAGGCTGACTGGAAGGGACTCCAGCATGGCTCTTCTGATGTGAGTGTCTAGGGACGCCAACCTGTCTTGTTAAGGTCTGCAGATTTTCACTTCATTACAATAATGATATATTCTGATTATATATTTATCTCCTTTTGGTTTCTCTTGCAGGGCGTCTATGAGCAACCTGATGGGCGTGGCAGGATCAGGTCAGCTGATGGATGATGTCATTCAGACGATGGTGCTGGGCGCCCCTTACACCTGTCCTACCCTCTCTCACTGCAATCTGTAGCTCCTTGGAGACACTTGAAGGACTACCTGAAGGGCTATAGCTCATTGGAAAGTCTCCTTCTAGAGCTATAGCTCCATACAGGGACACCTGGAGTTCTAACGTCCCTCCAGGCGTTTCAGCTAAGCATAGTAGTAGGCATCCATCAGTCTCAGGAGACTAATGGATGCCTACAGCTAAGCATGCCACCTTCACAAAGGTTCACTACAACGAGCTACTTCCTGGACGTCTCGACACAACTTCGGCAGTTTTCAAACTCCTGGAAGCTCAGTTCTGTGGTCCTGATTCCAGAACGCCTCTGAGAAATTTCTGCGATTATTCTCAAAAAAGGTGTTTCCCAACTAGAAATATTGCCAAGGTCAACTTTTTTAGTTGCGAAACATTGCCACTGTGTTCGAGACAAGAGGCATGGCATATCACCTGTGATGAATAGAGGTTGAAGGAACATCTTGTCCTGACACATATGCTGGTTGAGTTGTTCCTTGGCCACCAGTGCACCTGTGTCCGCTGGGCTTTTGTCTTATATATATTATTTATTTATTTATTTAATCATTTACTGAATAATTTATTGAATCATTACGTGAACACACACACACACACACACAGGTCCTAGCAGCTGAGTGGACAGGGCTCTGGGTTCGTAGTCCTAAGGGCCCTGGTTCGATTCCCGAACGAGGCAGAGTTAATTTCACCTGATGGCCCTGTTCACCTAGCAGTTAACAGGTACCAGGGAGTTAGACAAATGCTACGGGCTGCATCCTGCGAATGTGTGCTTGTATGTATTAGAGAAATATATGTAATAGTTATGGCAGAGAAAAAATAGGTCGTGAGTCAGTAAAGACAACGGGCGGCTAGAAAGGCGGGGACCAAGAGCTAACAGCTCAATCCTGCAGGCACAAATAGCAAATACAAACACACACACAATCAGCAAAGATAAACCAAAGATAATAAAGTAGACGCAAGAGGCATCAGTTAACTTAGACTGGAGCCTAGTGATTGCCGGGTATATAACTTCGTCTGTTTCTTCTTTATTGTACGAAGACTGTATCTGCCACGGCCAGTTGTGACCAGATAACAAGCGTCTAAAATGTATGCTTTTGCCTTACGATATCCGTGACTGTACCTGGTCCCTGGACCGGTGCTGATGGTCATTGGTTCTGGAAAGCGTACAGTTTTTCAACGGTTATATTTCCACTTCTAAAATGTTAAAATTTTTTCAACGGTTATATTTCCACTTCTAAAATGTTAAAATTTGGACATTTTAGTCCTTACTGGTGTCCTTCTGAGAGTATTCACTCTGAATTTACTTTAGTAAAGTGTCTGGTTTATATTATCATACAAGAGTGCATAGTTCACATTTTCCATGTACAATTAGAATCTAAAAATGTATTTTGGATGCAATAAAAATATTGAGTAAATTCGTCTGGATTTTAAACCTTCACTTCCTCTTACGAGATTTAACCTGAGTATTAAAAAATACATAAAACACAAATAAAAAAAATGGAAAAAGCAATATATCTCAAACGCGTAAAAATAAAAAAATAAAGGACTACAGAAAGGTTTATTGGCTCATACGAGGCAGTTATTTATATCCGTCCAATTTCATATATATATTTCACCTACAATGGACGTAGAACGGACCTAATACCCTGGAAACACAAACCGAAACTGTCTCTATTTTCAGCTTGTTACAACTTGTAATAAAGTTGTCACATCTTGGCTTAACGTGTTTATGACGTATTAGAACGTTGTTACAACTTGCTATATTGGTTGTTATAACTGGTTAGGAGGTGTTAAAACTTGTTCGAACGTTGTACCAACGTCGTAGTTTCGGTGTGTGTTTGGCGGGTATATGATGGTGGTGACAACTGAACCTTCTTCGAAGGTCAGAAACATGGGCTTCACCATGTGAAAAATATTATGGTAGTTGGTTGGGATTGTAATTTGAACTCCCAGTGTCTAGACACCTCAGCCACATGCAATACCTACTGCACCATGATGGGCTCGGGAGTGACTCGACCTGATCTACTACACGTACTGGAAGGTATATGCTGGTGTGTGTGTGTGTGTGTGTGTGTGTGTGTGTGTGTGTGTGTGTGTGTGTGTGTGTGTGTGTGTGTGTGTGTGTGTGTGTGTGTGTGTGTGTGTGTGTGTGTGTATGTGTCTGGGAGAACCCAGAGACAGGAGTTCAATCCCAACCCATTGCAATAACATTTTCTCGTAGATACATCAACAGCTCTGTTTCCAAACCAGTATTTACGATACTGGTACAATATATATATATATATATATATATATATATATATATATATATATATATATATATATATATATATATATATATATATATATATACATACACATACACATATATACATATATATATTTCTTATCCTCGACCAGTGCTACCAGTGAATAGCGAATGAAATACTACCAGAATACCTAAGCGACTCCATTGGAATTTATAATTCTAAATTTGCAGAAGAAGCCGGTCAGTGGGACAATCTTGTCAACTCACATCCTCGACCAACTTTTCCAAACGACTGCAAACAGGCCAAATCTCAGATAGCCCCATAGTGGAGAACATTACCACAGCATTGCTGGAGGCAGCTTCTGGGAAGGACAAAGCGCGTCTTCTAGTTGTGCAAGCTCCCCATGCCGGGGACTTCCTGTTGGCTGTCTCCAATTCCGCCTTGGCCACCCGTCTGGATCATCGGGACCTAAGTATTGGTTTGATTGGCATCCACGAAGCAGTCAATGACATCATCAAGAGAAGTTTGGCTACAGATGGGGGTCCAGCACAAAGGGAACCTCAGTTGTGCAAACCTGTAGCTCCTTGGAGAGACTTAGGACTTAGACTTAGTTTGTGACTTTTCAGTCACAAACATCCAGATGGAGTCACCCTGCAGCCATGGAGGGAAGGTAGACAGGTCGTGTGGGACTACACGTGTGTGTCTACATTGGCTGATACTTATCTACCTTACAGTACACCTTAGGGAGGTGGGGCAACCACCTTCAGGGAGACCCAGAAAACTAATAAGTACAGAAACCTAGAACGTTGTTACAGGTTCGTGCCGATAGGCTCTGAGACTCTGGGCGCCTGGGGGTAAATGTGCACTTAAGTGCCTAAAGGAGGTGGGCGAGGAACTTATTAGGCAAACTAGAGACTCACAAGCGGCCAGTTTCCTGTTCCAGCGCCTCAGTGTCGCGATCCAGAGAGGAAATGCTTGCTGTATCTTGGGCACGCACCCCACCTCCGAAGAGCTGGATGAGGTCTTCGAACACAGATGGTTATATATGTGTGTTTTCAGTAAACTGTAACACAATGTAATACAATTAATAAAGCAAAAAGAATAAAAAAATAATTTGCCGTGGGAGGAGCGTGATCCTACCGGAAGGAGTTTCACGTCTCATTTTCAAGTGATCCCTCGCACTGTCATTAGCCAACAGATTAATCGCCTGGCGTCCCCCGTGACTGGGCGCCGACGCCCTCGCTGGCGTCACGGCTGGCGTCACACGCTCACCTGGCGGCTGCGGTTTTTTGGGGCTTGTATACTTTTATATGTATTGTTTGTTACGCTCCTCTTGGTGCCACCCCTCGTGTGACCCCTTCTCTTGGTCCCACTCCTCGTGTGACCCCTCCTCTTGGTCCCACCCCTCGTGTGACCCCTCCTCTTGGTCCCACCCCTCGTGTGACCCCTCCTCTTGGTGCCACCCCTCGTGTGACCCCTCCTCTTGGTCCCACCCCTCGTGTGACCCCTCCTCTTGGTCCCACTCCTCGCGTGACCCCTCCTCTTGGTCCCACCCCTCGTGTGACCCCTCCTCTTGGTCCCACTCCTCGCGTGACCCCTCCTCTTGGTGCAGGGGTCACACGAGGTCACCGTCTCGTCTCAGAGGAGAGGCTGAAGTGTGTGGGCTAGACTCCTCAGGCTAAGTCAGTGCTGGTCTGAGGCTCCTCACTTACCTCAGCGGTTGACTGCTGGTGCTCTCAGAGATCAAGACAAAGATCGGTGAGGAAGGTCAGTATGCAAAGTGGGAAGAGGGGAAGAGGGGAGAGAGAGGGAGACTAGGAAGCAGGGAACAAGGGATAGGAAGGAGGACTTTGGGGGAGGTATATTTGGGCAAGGAGAAGAAGAGAGAGGCAGGAATGCAGACCTACCGTCTCTCCCTCCTCCTCCTTCTCCTTGCCAGATCTTGACACGAATCCATATATGCCAAATATATGCGGATTCATCTAACTATAGTAATTAGATAAAACCCAGCAATTTGATACGTGATGGAGGTCGTCACGGGAGTTAATTCCGGCTGTTGTTAGTCTCACTTCGTGGTGCAGAACGCTTGGGCACCTTGGGTCGTCGGGGATGGGGAGAGAGAGAGAGAGAGAGAGAGAGAGAGAGAGAGAGAGAGAGAGAGAGAGAGAGAGAGAGAGAGAGAGAGAGAGAGAGAGAGAGAGAGAGAGAGGGAGAGAGAGTCCAACAACAACTGTATTGCTGCTCTAGACACAGCAGGTACCTTTGATCGGGTACCCTCAAAGCACTATGGATTGGTAGTAAAACTTGAAGCATTAGGCATCTCAGGCTCCATCTTAGAGCTAGTAAAGCCTTATCTTCAAGAATGTACTATTAGAGTTGTCTTCAATGGAGCAGGATCCGAAAGCCACTCAACTGATGCCAGCGTTGCACAGGGTAACGTTCTCTATGCTGAGGAAAGTCTATTTCAGTGATTTACTTCATCTCATTCCTGAAGCTCAAGCCTATGCTGATGACTGCACTCAAACCTTTACATACATACAGAAATGCCAACTGCTGCAAATTTATTTATTTATTGATTTATTTATATACAAGAAGGTACATTAGGTTGGTGAGAATACATAGCATAGTATTTACAATCTTGTAAAATCACTAGTACGCGCAGAGTTTCGGGCAGGTCCTTAATCTAACAGATAATTTTAAGTAGGTAAATTCTAGCAGAATTAAGTCTCATCAATTACAACTTTCAGCGACTTCTACCTGGGGGTAGAAGATGACAGGTCACATTTGAGGCTGAGAAAACACAGGAGATGGCGATAACTAGACCGTACAATGTTAATCTGACAGGTTTGCAAATGGGCGGCAAAGCCTAGAGTTCACAGATGAAACTGACATTTTGTGAATGAAGTTCGGCTCTTCTAGGTCAATGAAGAGCCACATGTTTAACATAGCCTAAATGGTAGTTAAGAAACTTACTGCCCTAAGGTGCATCTCACGCCTTCTTGACAGCAGGGGCTGCAAAATCTTCGCTCTGATCAGGGGTATGCACCCCTCGTCTGGATCGTCTGCCCTCCATCACTTATCAGACTTTTGGACAAAGTGGAGAGCCGTGTATGTTGTTGTTGTTTTAGATTTAACTACTCAGAACAAAGTGTCCATGTAGCGCGGGCTATGGTGAGCCCGTAATTGAGTTCGGTTATTCGCGATAACCTTGCTACTCTGATATTTGGGTCAAAGTTTTAAATGGAGGTGGGGTTTCCTCCTTTTTCTCTGTTTCTTTTTCGCTTCTGTTTTTTTGAGTGCACTGGTTTTGGTCTTGTTTTAATATCATTATCTTGGTGACGGATGTAGATGCAGAATGTTCACTAGTGAGTCCCATTCTTCAACGGCTTTTCTAATCATTGTAGTAATCTAATCTAATCTAATCGAAGCTTTTCTAATCATCATTGAAGCAGAAAGGTTAGCAAATCTATTTGCTTCAAGAGCCAGTTCCACTCAACTTCCTCAAGCAACTCTGACTCACCAACAAAGACTTCAAGCAGCAAGATGGACAAAAATAGATGATGCTTTAGCCTTACCTGACGAACTAGACCAACCTTTCAATCTGAAAGAACTCAGAAGAGCTACAAAGAAAACTGTCGTGACGTTGGCGGACTGTTATGTACAAGGCCAACATTCTCAAAGTTCTTCACCTAACCCAACTTCGTGGACAACCAGTAGTTGGCACCCGTAATACTAGGCTCTCAACCTTCAACTGTCTTATGCTGGAATTGCCTTTCTTAAGAATATCACTTTATTAGCGATTATTCATTCCTAGGTTGACTCGCATCTAGAACTTCTTCGCTCAAAAGGCTGATACACGGGAGATCAGATCAACTTATCACATGAAGGCTCTGGCACACAGTTGGCTACAGGCTCGTCCTGTTCCTTATATGATTATTACTCAATGAATAAAGTTTGCTCTTAATGATGCATATAATAGGGTCATGAAAACAATGGATCTCTAGGAGCAAATTTCAACTGAGCTGAGGTAGGATTACAGATCTTTCTTGCAATTTCAACAGGTTCCTAATATGATAGTTACAATATGATTGTTCCCTATGAGATAGTTTCAAAGTATATTCACGTAAAATAAACGAGTCTCTAGAAGCAGGCTTCAGATGAGCTGAGGTAGGATAACAGCTCTTGCTTGCAGCATCACTAGGTACTTCATTTGACAGCCCTAATGAGAGAGAGAGAGAGAGAGAGAGAGAGAGAGAGAGAGAGAGAGAGAGAGAGAGAGAGAGAGAGAGAGAGAGAGAGAGAGAGAGAGAGAGAGAGAGAGAGAGAGAGCGGTAGGAGGGAGGGAGGTATGCCACAGCCTATCAATGGTCGAAGCAATACACCTTCGCCAAAGAAAAACGGAGCGGAAACAAAGAGTAGTTCGTAGAGGCAATGACGTACCTCCCTCGTCCTCCCCCACCGCCCCCAGCTACCAGAAGTGGCAAGGAAGGCTCCCACGCGGGAGCCTGACAGTTCACCGCGGCTGCAGAGAGGAACACAACTCCAGGAGCAGCAGCTGCAGCAGTGGCCGCCACATCCAGGATTCCTCCCGACACCGCAGAAGCGTCGACCAAACACAGGTATGTAGTTGTATATGCAGCCTAAGCCATGCTTTCGGAGGCTTTGGTTGGAATATTTGTTTTAAGAGACGATACCAAGTCTTAAGTGACAGCACATCAACCATATACACATCTCGGTTGACAAGTAACCTGTGTGTCCCTCTTGGTGGAACCTTGCGAGATTTGTAATAAAACTAAGAGGTAAAAATTTGATATAGAAAGGATCACAATGCCATATTAGTCCATCGGCTCCCACTAAAACACACACACTATATACTTATGGAAATTCCTGTTTCAGTTCTTCCTCCGTGGTCTGACACTGTCATATTATATATCTATATTACATTATATATATATATATATATATATATATATATATATATATATATATATATATATATATATATATATATATATATATATATATATATATATATATATATATATATATATATATATATATATATGAACATGTGTATGTAACATTAACGATTGTGTTAAAACTTCAAAAGATTATCACTTGCTTAACTAAACGAACTATGGGGAAATATTACAGTTACATTCTTGCAGAGAAACATAATGGGTTCCTGAACCCATTATGTGCCTCTGTAACCCTTTCCACCACCGCCCGCGGGATGAGTATGGGGTGCATCATACAGAAATTACATTGAGATGAAATATTGAGCGACGGTGGCAACACGTCCCTCTCTCTCAGTGATAAAGATTTACACACACACACACACACACACACACACACACACACACACACACACACACACACACACACACACACACACACACACACACAAGGGGAACACGCACAAGGGGACACAGGTGGAAACTGAGTGCCCAAATGAGCCACAGAGATATTAGAAAGAACTTTTTTAGTGTCAGAGTGGTTGACAAATGGAATGCATTAGGCAGTGATGTGGTGGAGGCTGACTCCATACACAGTTTCAAGTGTAGATATGATAGAGCCCGATAGGCTCAGGAATCTGTACACCTGTTGATTGACGGTTGAGAGGCGGGACCAAAGAGCCAGAACTTAACCCCCGCAAGCACAACTAGGTAAGTACACACACACACGTATCTCGAGCGAAGAGTTGAATTATGCAGCAGTTTTTGTATTATTATTATTTTCTACCACAGACGTGGCCATACATTTACAATGCTAATTAGCATATATATATATATATATATATATATATATATATATATATATATATATATATATATATATATATATATATATATATATAGTGGTGGTGGTAATACTATCACTAGCAATAAAATAATAATAATAATAATTAAGAGGAATTATTAGTCATGGTTAAATACTTATGTTAAAAATTAATGTCAATTGAGAATAAGGAATAGGTCTTGGATGGTATCAAAGAGATGATTGACGTCAGGAAGATTTGAATATATGTAAGACATGTGTCGCTCACTGGAAAATAGATACCTACCAACTTCTTTGTTAAATCATGTAAATTAGTTTAACACAAGTGCTACTGTTACAGTGTAGCAGCAAGACTGATGTTGAGGGCTGCAAGACAATGTCTTGTGGGATGATGAGGATGATGGTTTGGTGAAGTAATTTAAGGTTATCACACACAGAGATCACACTAACGTGATGCATCAAATGAACAAATCCACAAGGGCCGTGACGAGGATTCGAACCTGCGTCCGGGAGCATCCCAGACGCTGCCTTAATCGACTGAGCTACGACAGGGTAAAAGGGTTGAAACCGAAGTTCTACTGAACTTACTGGATCCCGTAGCCTCTCCGAGGTTATTTAAGATTACATCTGAGAAGAGCGTTTCATGGCTGGACGCGACCATTACTCCAGCAGGGGGCTCTGTGGTCTTCCTCCCATGTCTTGTTAGTGAAGGTGGAAGACTTGAGAGGTGTGAACGGATCATATCGGGTGGAGATGTGTGTGTGTGTAGTTACCTCGGTGTAGTTACAGGATGAGAGCTACCCTCGTGGGGTTCCCAGTGTGTGTAGTCGCCTAGTTGTGCTTGCGGGGGGGGGAGGGGTTGAGCTCTGGCTCTTTAGTCCCATCTCGATTGTACCCGGTGACAAGGTAATGGCAGTCTAGCAGGAGAGAAAGATGACGGGATACCTCGAGGACCAGTACTTGCTACACCAACGTAAAGTAAACACCTGCTTTATTTATGCTGAGATTTAGGCCTAGGGTCAGGTGTTGAGACCATTAATCACGTCATTCAGCGCTAAAACATCTGTATTATACATAAAAACATAAGACTAAAGGAACAGCAGAAGGCCTTGTGGTCAACAAGGGGCAGCTCCTGCTTATATCTACCCAAACTCATCCATATGCAGATGAACAGTCACAATAACGTGGCTGAAAAATGTTGACCACCTTGAGGTGCTTCCGGGGCTTAGCGTCCCCGCGGCCCGGTCGTCGACCAGGCCGCCGGCCGCCGACCAGACCACACTCAAGAAATTGAAGAGGCGACGACGTTTCGGTCCGTCCTGGACCATTATCAAGTTGATTGTGATGAGACGAAGGAAGCAAGGGCAATAAATAGGCAAGAGAGAGAGAGAGAGAGAGAGAGAGAGAGAGAGAGAGAGAGAGAGAGAGAGAGAGAGAGAGAGAGAGAGAGAGAGAGAGAGAGAGAGAGAGAGAGAGAGAGAGAGGTCTTTACACTCAACAAACCATTAAGTAAACCAACACAAACACCCTATACTACACCCTCGTACCTACACCTCAAGCAACAACACCCTGCCCTTGTAAACACAACTTTTCTTCCATTCCTTCCCCTCCCCCCCTTCCATTCTCCTTATATTATCCTTTGTTGTCAGTCTCCTCTCTTCCTTTTGCTCGTGATAATCCTCCTCCCCCCTTCTTCTTCTTCTCTACATCTTCTCTTGCTCCTCATCCCTGTGTTCCTTGTGTGCGAGCAGCGCGAGAAGAGGCAGTGATGTGTGAGACAAGCCTCTGCCTCTCACGCAACTGAGACACCGTTTCCGACCCTAATTGGTTGTTTGGAACACGGGCGTGTAGCGCAGCCAAGTTCCGCTGCATGCTTGTACGGCAAGGCCGCGAACGACCTCCCGTTTCTCGCTCGCTGCCTTGGTTATAGAGCACACACATACACACACACACACACACACACACACACACACAGAGGCGGGACCAAAGAGCCAGAGCTCAACCCCCGCAAGCACAACTAGGTGAGTACACACAGTGCTGCTGCGCCCACTAACAGTCTGGTCGAACAGGCTTGGTCAGAGACTGGGTCCACGGGGACACGGATCCTTGGAACCATCTCAAGGAAAACTCAAGGTAAAGTGGTCTTAGGAGGAGGTAGCAGAGGTGAGGCTGTTGTAATAGTAGTATATGGAGAAGTAATACAATATAGATATCTCCTATGGCCTCATCACTGCAGAATGAAAAGGAAACATATAAACGTTATCGAATTAATTTATCACTAAAAACTCTCCATAACATAACCACATAATCCATATTTAATATTCTATAACGTTAAAGAAAACACAAATATTAATAATACATATATATGTGCGTCTACATATTCAGAATCAACAGTATCAATACAGCAAATGATATATAGAAAGCTAATACGAAGTTTGATTTCGTTTCTTTCAGTAGGTTGCGGAGAGAGAGAGAGAGAGAGAGGAGGCCAAGTCTTCAGACTTGAGGAAGATGACCTTCCTGAACATGATGATCCTCGTCCCCTTCCTGCTGGTGGTGTCGACGGCGGCCCATACCAAAACTGTCACTACATTATCCGAGGCAGCGACGACGTCTCCGAGCAGCGCCAGTAGCATCAGCCACAGCATCAACACCCTCCTGGCGAACAAACTCTTGTCGCAGGTGCTGGAGAAGGTTAGCGCGATGAACGTAGACGCGGAGATGCTGGCTGCGTCGCTCTTCAGGAGGCTGGTAGGTGGAGACGACGGAGATGATGCTCTAGAAAAAGTCAAGTCCCTCCTGGTGAAGCAGTTGCCTGATTTCGAGGAAATGAGTAACGTGGTGACAGATAGCTTGGGGGTCGATAAAGACTTTTTGAAACCTTTTGTGAAAATTGTGAGCAGAATGAGCAAGCTCAGCAATGGGAAGCCGTCGCAGTTCAAGAGCCGCTTCCAATCCGTCCTCGAATTGGTAGGACAATATATAAACCTAAACGACAAGGATGAAGAGACTGGAAACGTGACCCCCGAAGATATTTCCAAGGCAGTAAATGGCAGCACCTCAGGCAGCGTTAGAGATCCCATGATGAACATCTTCGACCTGGCTAAGGAGCTGTTGGAGAGTAAGTTCGGTAACTTGAGCTCTGTCATCGTGCCTCCGGACTCCCAGATGCCAACAGAAGCACCGAGTCTTAACCTGGCAAGTTCGAGTGTGTGGATGATAGTGAAATCGACGTGGCACCGCATCTTGGCCTTCGTCGGGGAAGAAAATTCGCTAGAGTCCTTCATGCAGTTGACGCCCGTGAAGATCATCGATCGTATCTTGGGTCTCGGAGATGAGGTCAGTCTCGTCAACTTCTTGGCTAAAAAACTCGATGCGGACTTTGCGCAGTTCTTGGCAGAAGAGCTGAACCCATACTTAGGTCCACTAAGGGACTTTGAGAGCTTCTACAACTTCACCAGAGAAAATAAACTGAACGGCATCATTGACTACTTCAGATCCGATAAATTTAGATACACTGTGAATGCCATGTCGCGTTTCATCTCGGCCTACCTCGAAGACGCGGTATCGGACGATGTGATGAACCAGTACATCGAGTTCATTTCCTTCAACAACACGGACCTGCACCACTTCTACAAGTCTATACTTAGGAATGAAGGCAAGACTGTTGACACACAGAATTCCGATTCAACCATAACGAATTCGACTCAGCGCTACAAGCGGGACGTCCTACAAGACATCGCCAACAGCTACAAGCCCGGCGGAGACTCGGAACAAATCTTCGACGACGATTCCACCACCAGTTCCGGACGACAGATTCAGCGGTATGGCGTGGTGAGCGCCACTAACACGGCTCTGTATGACCCAGCTCGAGATGGATACGGCGGCAGTGGATATGGTGGCGGAGGATACGGAGGATACGGAATGAACATGAACACCCTGGACCCATACGTAGTCCTGGGCTCCCTGGCGCTAGGTACCATTCTGGGTTTCCTCTTGTTCAGAGCACTTCGGGGGACGCGCCGAGGCAGGCGGGACATCGGTGATGGCTCTCTGTCGTTATGGCAGTCAGATATACCCGACGGGCTGCTTCCCTGGGGCACAAGCGCCGAACGCGTGAAGCGAGAAGCTCCTAACTTCAACAAGACAGGAGTCGAGGAGTTCAACCTGCCCAACTCGATGAGAGGCGACATCTGGTCTACGAACCCCTTGGTGGAAGATGACTTGCTGGCTACCCAGCTCGAGGAGGAGGACATCGCCGACCATCTAAACCACCTGTGGAGGGTGTACAAGCACGACAACGAGACCACCTGCGTCGAGGCCCACCTGTGTGATGTCATGACCACCAGCACCGCTGAACGTCTTACCGGGAAGGACTCGAGCATGGCGCTCCTCATGTAAGTGTGTTCTCAGAATGTTTGATAACAGGTTTATTGTTTGTGATGTGTGTCTATGTATGTACTAACACGTTGTACTGAACGGGGGTGAGAATAGCTTGAGCTACCTCATCCCTTTGTGTGTATTTTACCTCAATAAACTTATTTCAATTTCAATTTCAATTTCAATGTGAGTGTGTTAATACCTCTCCATGTTTCACCCTCGTCATCCATCCATCTTTCATACTCTCCATCTACATTTATCTTGTTTCTTTATTCCCCATTCCATCTATTTTTTTTAAGATTCTTGCAAAAAATACACAAAACTATGGATAAAAATATATATATTTTTATCCATAGTTATATAAATATATATAATAATAGTTATAATAAATATATATATTTTTATAATGCTACCTTTTAACAAAATACTTTTTTTTTTTCCTGCAGGGCCTCAATAGGTAACCTAATGGGCGTGGTAGGGTCAGGTCAGCTGATGGACAAGGTCACCAACAGTCTAGTGTTGGGGGAACTCTTCACTTGTCCTACCTCCACCACCACCACCACCTGCCACCATCACCTCCTGTAGGACGCCCCTTGCTGAATCTCATCACCTGGTGACCTGATGACCTGGCGACCTAGTGACCTAGTGACCTGGCGACCTAGTGACCTGGCGACCTAGTGACCCGATGACCTGAAGACCTAATTTTCTCCTGTCGTCAATAAGCAACAGGGAGACACTTTTAGGCGCAGAAACAACTTGAGAACACGATGGACTAGAGAACGCGACGGTCTCGAGGACACGACGGATTCCAGAACACGACGGACTCCAGAACACACTAAGGAGGAGTTTATAATGAGTAAATTACAAATGTTTATGGACAGGGGATCAAGAGAGAGACTCCTGTTCAAGCCAGAGAGAAACAGTCAGGAACTATAGGACCAGGGCTGGTTTGGGTAATGGAACAGCCCCATTCTCTCGACCTCCCCCCTCCGTAAAATATGCAATGGTTTAGCCTAACACAAAAGCGTCAACACCTAGGCTACCCGACCTAACTAACCAGAACCGTTACTCATTAGTCCCTCAAAAGCGTTACTACTAATTATATAGAGCTTCTATAATTTCCGTAAACAACAACTCTCTTTACTACGGGGTCGACTGCGTACACACATATCGGGGGGGTTCAGTAAGAGGCCGAGGCTATTCCATTCACCTCTCCTGAAGGAGATTTTAACCCTCCCTTCCCCAACCCCGCGGTAAGTCGAGGCGAACGACGTTGATGTGACATTGAAACAACATTTGTAACTTCAAAACCACGTTGAGTTATTGTTGAACAATAATATTGTTGTTATTGTTCATTAAACGTGGATCCAGCGTTGATTTAGCATTAATTTGTGTTGATTTGGCGTTGATTTATGTTAATTTAACATTAGATCAATGTTACTTCAGGATATTTTGTGTAGGTAAAGGTTTACCATGGAGAGGTAATTAGAGGAATACCACAAGGGTCGCTACTAGCACCTATTCTTTTCCTAAATGAACTAGACACATTCCACATGTTCTGAAAAATGTCCACTAGACTTCAACAAGCTAAATGCATAGTGATGAGGATACAAACAGGAGAGAAAATATCTTTAGAATAAGAGCTGGTTAAGTTAAACACCTCCCAAGAGGCAAAGTGGAGGACCCAATGTACAAGGAACGACTTAACTAGTGCTATAATAAATTATTGTGAATACGAAACGTCGTTATAACATATAGTTATTAATGATTTGAAACTACAAAAAATTTATAAAAATATATATTTATATAAAATAAAATATACTTATGATATAATTTATGTCTATATTTACACTATATTTAGGTTAGTCTTATGGTATAAGTTTGTTATAATACAAATTATTTATAATTTTTAGAAATGTTTGTCCATGTAAAACTTTATTGTTTTGTTGAAAACAATATTCTACAATTAAAGTATATTTATTATTTTAAAGTGTATTTATTTATTATTATATATACTTATCAAGTATATTTTATTAGCATATATTAATGCGTTGTTATTACATAACTGATACAAAGCACTATATAATACTAATATATAATACAACGTTACACAACGTTATATAATTGTCTTTAAATGTTCAACGTGCGGCATTTTAGTTTTTAATTTTAAAAGCAGTACTTGCAACGAAATTTCTCTGCCTTCCATTTACGAGAATAAAGGAGTTTACCCTGAACTGCTCTGTGTATCCCCCCCCCTACCCCCGGGGCAGTCAAGATGTCTTGACCAGTTAAGGAGATATATAATAATGGCTAATGAGATGATGATTAACATAAGTGATGTTAAACAAATAAAACCATTAGATAAAAATATATTCTACAAATGACAAGCTATCAACCAGTGTAAGATAACTAGAGAATGTTTATATAATAATGCATGGATCGTCCGGATCGTCAACAGTGAGGACCGTCAATAGTCACGAATTCGTACGTTCTTAACTACGGGCTCACCATAGCCCGTGCTACTTGGAACATTTTGTTCCATGTAGCGAATCTTTAACAACAACAACGTACGTTCTTAGTTATTAGATAGTAGGATACTAACTAGTAAGAAATTGTTTTAAAATAAATGAAGCTAATACACAAACTTAAGTATTTCTAGGTCTGGTAGAGCACACATGTGTACTATATTAGGCCTCATATATCGTGTATTAGGCCTAGGGAGGTTAGGATAGATAAGTTTAGTTTCTCAAAGCAACACATTATATATTATATATATATATATATATATATATATATATATATATATATATATATATATATATATATATATATATATATATATATATAATGCAGACATTAAGTACATTTCACAAAATTTTACACCCCCAGTTCTTAAAGCAGAGTTATTTTTTTTCATTTAACCCGAAAGCGACCAATTTAACAGCCCAATACTCATGGTTAAGTATTGGGATGTTAAGTATCGTGAACTAGTTGAGCCCAATACTCGAGACACCCATTTCAGTTACGCATTTTCCGACAAAAAGTAAATTTTACAACCCAATTTTCACAGAACGATGAAATACAGTTCGCCACATTCGGGAAAAACTATCTCGGAGGACTAGGATTCGCTCCGTGACATTTCAGGGCGTAGTGTTATAGAACAAATCATTAGACAGTGTTATGATCCACAGAGGGCCAGAGAACAAAAGACAAGACAAATTGGGTTCGATACAGGAAGAGGCCTCGCCCTCAAATGTTCCAGTAATACAGACAAGCAAGAAACGGCAGTGAGGAGAGAGGCAGAAAGAAACTTTGAGGAAAGGGATAGCAAACAATTGGAAATGTAGACCCGAGGCTATTCTATAACTTATTAAAAGCAAAATGCATGCAAGTGAAAAATCCAGAGGTTGAGAACGGGGAACAGATTCATAAAGAATGAAAAGGAAATGTATGAAACACTAAATGAGCCGTTTCAAAATGTATATGTGTACAACTGAGGTTTTTAGAGAACCAGATACAATATTGACTTCAGAGGACACAGGGTATATAGAAGCGAGTAGAGATGAAGTAGAAAAAGTGCTCAAGGTGCTAGATGGAAACAAAGCAGTTGCAGTCTCAACTTAAGTTATGAGAGAATGTGCCCAAAAGTTAAGCATTCTACTTGAATTATTTGTTCATGCATCTTTATGTTCAGGAATCTTAGCATGCATATGGAAAAAGACAAATCGAGTTCCAATCTACAAAAAATAGTAGTCGAGAAGATAGTCTAAATTACAGACCCGTATTGTTAACATGCGTGGTAGTCAAAACACTAGGAAACAATAATTAAAAGCAAATGGATAGAACACCTGGAGAGAAATCCCATAATAACACAAGAACAGTATGGCTTTCGTACAGGAAGATCCTGTGTAACAAACCTGCTTAGTTTGTATGACAGAGCCACGGAGATTTTACAGGAAAGAGAATGTTGGGTTGACTGTGTCTATCTGGACCTTAAAAAAAGGCTTTTGCCATTGTCTCACAGAAGAGCTAGTTCTAGAAGCAGGAGGATGCTGGAGGGGGGTGACAGGAAGACTTCAGACATGATGACAGATTTTCTGCCAGAGCTGAGGGCGGTAATCAAAGTCAATGTATCAGACATAAATTATCCGCAAAAGGGAATACAACATTAACAGCCTATCCTCCTGTTTAGATAGAACTTATAGTAACGATGCGGACCATCGTACAGATATTGACGTAATGGACAATTGGAAAGTAGAATTTTGGTACTACAGAATTTTGACCAGCCGGAAAAAAAATCGTATTAATATTGCTAATAAAACCTAGCCTAACCATCCTAGGCCTAATACACGCTATCTGAAGCCTAATATGGCACATACATGCTGTTCTAAGCCCAGGAATATTTAACTTTGATTATTAGCTTTATTTTTCCGGACTCTTATAAAATGAATAGTACCAAATTCTACTATGAAATTGTCCATTAAGCAAATATATGTACAATGGTCCATGTAGTTACAATTTTTTTTTATTAATACATGAGGTACATCTGCATTAGTGCAGCTGCCCTAGACTATATGAAGTGGAGTACAGTGTGTCAAGAAAGCTAACTACGTGATGCTAAAAAATCCCCATCACACAGGATGGTTAGTCATACAGAGGCATGTGATAGGCAGTCTGCACTGGCAGACTCCGGATGCATTTTGAGGATAAAAAATCTAGATGGGAGGACGAGTTGAAAATGATATGAACATGTTTGCTGATGATGCTAAGATACTAGGGAAGATTAGACACTTGCACGATTGTCATACCCTTCAAGATGATTGGAAAAAATAAGCGTAAGGAGCAACACTTGACAGATGGAATTCATCGTGAATAATTGCCAGGCTATAGAATGTGGAACAGGAGAAAATAACTTATAGACAATCTTAAAATTTTGTGAAAACGCTTTGAAGAACTCAAAATTGCAGGTCTAAGAATTGTTCTGGAAAGTAAACTGTCACCCGAAGACCTCGTAAAGAACATAGTGCGAGGAGCCTATGCTACGCTTTCCAATTTCGGAATTGCTTTTATATACATGAACGGTGAATTATTAAAGAAAAGGGTCACGACTTTTGTGAGACCAAAATTAGAATGCGTAGCGGTCGTATGATCCCCATATCTCAAGAAGCACATCAACAAACTAGAAAAGATGTAAAGACATGTTACTAAATGCCTTCCGGAACTGAAGGACAAGAGCTACGAGGAGAGACTTGAGGTGCTAAATTTGCCAAAGCTAGAAAACAGAAGAAACAAAATAATAACAGAAATAAACAAAATTGACAAAGAGGAATTCTTGAACACTACAACTTAAAGATCAAGAGGTCACAGATTCAAGATAAGGAAGCAAAGAATGCCAAAAAATATTTGAAAATTCGCTTTTGCAGGGTGGAAGACGGTTGGAACAGGTGAGAAGGTGGCAGAGGCCAAAACAGTCAGTAGTTTCAAAGCGTCATATGATAAAGAGCACTGCAAAGCCGGGACACCACGAGCATAGCTCTCATCCCGTAACTGCACTTAGGCAATCACACACACACACACACACACACACACACACACACACACACACACACACACACACACACACACACACACACACACACACACACACACACACACACGTAACAGTGCTCATCCCCTTGGACGTGTTGCGGGTAGAGAACTAGGATGAGAGTTCTCACCCGAAGCTAACGGCATTGGAAATCGTTGTGTGTGTGACACGATGTAGAGATCCCTGATAAACTGCTGGTGGCGGTGAGGTGAGGGAATCGCCGATCCGAGGCACCAGAACATGTGTCACTACGCCCCTAGGAGGAGTCACGGGCAGTAGGTTGTCATGTGAACTGTGAGGAAGAGCAAGCAAGAAACAGAAAGAGAGAGAGAGAGAGACAGACAGAGCGAGAAAGTGAGGCGTTAGGCGTCGAAGTCGATCTGTCGGGCGGGACCTGGGTCAGTGTGTAACGGAGCTCCAAGCTGGTAGGACGGCTGTCAACGGCTCTCTGGCTAGTCTCCTTCAGGCTGCGAGAGGCAGTTTACGTCCACAGTTCCCCCCTGGAACTACTGGGGGAGTTAATATCAAACCATCGACGAGGAGAGGAGTTTGAAGTGAAGTCTCCTTCAGGTAAGTCATTTATCTGGGTGTTTGTGGATTTCGTTCGGGACACTTCATCATTCTTCCATATCACTGTGACTCATTTGCGTCTCTAGTTGTCATCCAACACTCCTCGTTCTGCTATTTCTAGCTTTAAACAATGCTGCTTTGTCTACTTTGTCAATTCCTTTTAGGATTTTATATGTTATCATGTTCCCCTCTCTCTCTGCTTTCCTCCAATGTTGGAAGGGCCAGTTTTCTTTCTTTTCTCATAGCTTAATCCCTTCAGCTGAGGAACGAGTCTCGTGGCATAGCTTTAGACCTTTTTCTAGTTTTTCCTTGTCTTTTTTTAAGGTAGGGGTTCCATGCTGGGGCTGCATATTCAAGAGTGGGGCTCACCTTCGCTGTATATAGAGCCCGGAAAGCCCCCATTGTCCAAGTTTCTGAAGGAAACACGGACGTTAACCAGTATGTCATGTACAGTTCTTTTTCTGATAATGTGAGCTTCAGGCATCAATTCCAGCTCTTTCTCCTTTTCTGATTGAAGAATTTGTCTTCCCTTCATTCTATACAGCTGCACTCCTTCGCACTCCTGTTCCAATCCTCATAACTATGCATTTACCTGGGTTAAATTCTAGCAACCATTTTTTTCAGACCGGATCTGGAGTGTGTCCAAATCCGTTTGCAATGCATCACAGTATATTCCAGATCCGATTCTTTATCATTAGTTTTGAATCATCTGAAAACATTGATATGAAGGAGTCGATTATCTTCTGTCAGGTCGTTGACATATATTAGAAACAGGATGGGCCCCTATAACCGACCCTTGTGGTACTCCACTTGTAACCTTTCTCCACTCTGATGTCTCTGCTCTCACTGTAACCCTTTGCTTCCTTCCTGAGAGATCCTCTCCAACCCACCTTAGTACTCTGCCAGATGCATTATTTGGGCATTAGCCCAAAGGTGGCAGTATTATTTGGGTACTGACCCATAGAGGGAACTATTTTTGTACTGGCCCATAGAGGGAACAGTATTTGGGTACTGGGCCAAAGAGGGAACAGTATTTGGGTACTGGCCCAAAGAGGGAACAGTATTTGGGTACTGGCCCAAAGAGGGAACAGTATTTGGGTACTGGGCCAAAGAGGGAACAGTATTTGGGTACTGGCCCAAAGAGGGAACAGTATTTGGCTACTGTCCCAAAGAGGGAACAGTATTTGGGTACTGGGCCAAAGAGGGAACAGTATTTGGGTACTGGCCCAAAGAGGGAACAGTATTTGGCTACTGTCCCAAAGAGGGAACAGTATTTGGCTACTGGGCCAAAGAGGGAACAGTATTTGGGTACTGGGCATAAAAGAGCACTGCTGTTTGGATAAATGCAACTCGTGTTTTGGGTCAGACACCATTACTTAAGAGCTACAACTTTTTGGCTGCCATGTATATCATTATTTATATTACTTGAAATGTTGAATTGCTTTGTCTAACCCAACTTGACCTATCTCTAACCTAGCATAGTCTAATAAGATAACATAACTTTTTCCTAAGCTTAAATAACCAAATCTAACCCAGCCTCACTTAGTATAAGATAACAACATAACTTAACGTAACCAAGCACTATGGAATGCTATCACATCCTACATACTGTTAAGACACACACACACACAAGCTGCTGTCACCCAACACAGAGAATGTTAACTCACTCTCGAGACTTGTCACTCCACGCAATGACTCCTCACACACGTCCAATAGACTATAAACTCTAAAGAATGTCACCAATCACAATAAATCAGAATTATTAATATTACTTGCAGAACCCAAACCACGTTGAGGATGGCGGTGAAGCTTGCAGTAGTGCTGACAGTCATTCTGATGACGAGCAAGACCTCGCCAAGCGCCATCGATAGGACCACAGAGACATCGAACTCGCCAAGCGCCATCGACAGGACCACAGAGACATCGAACTCTCAGTACCCAGGCAATCATCAGCTACTGAGTCTTATGAAGAACCTCGTTGGGAGTTTGAACAGCGACCAATCGATGGCCATTGTTAAACAACTTTTCGGCAGTTCATACAACGGAAAACTCAGGGATTTCATCAAGAAATTTACTGGAAACTCGGAAGGAATAGACAACCAAGAGGGGAGTGGTTTTCTCATCTTGTCGACGCTTTATCAAAAGCTAATTGAAGCAGAGGAGTTGAAGACCATCATAGCTGACGGTTTGGGCGTCAATACTAATTTCCTGAAACCTCTTACAAGGATTGTCAGCGAAATGATAAAACTGAATGCTGAACATGCATACAAATCGATTAAATTAGGTTTGAGTGATGATGAGACAAGTGAGGATGGCCAGATCAACAAGGAAAATACTATAGAAGGAAGCTCCGGCGATATCCAGCCCCCAAAGGGCTCTCAAGCTGCCCAGCCTGCCATTAACGCTCAATTCTTGGAGTTGGCTAAGAATATATTCGAAGAGGAATTCGGAAGGATGGATTCCATCTTAGTGCATTCCACCTCGCAGGACCCAAATGGATTATTGGCGGACTTTAATGCCACCACCTCCAGCGTGTGGATGATGATCAAATCCACGTGGCAGAGAGTCCTGGCATACGTTAAGGAGGAGAATTCCCTGACACAGTTCATGCAGCTGACGCCCATCAAGATTATAGACAGAGTCTTGAGTCTTGGAGACGACGTCAATCTCTTAAACTTCCTGACCAAGAAACTTCATCCGGATTTTGCCATGTTCCTCATGACTAAGATCGACCCGTACTTGGGCCCACTGAGAGACTTCGACAGTTTCTACAACTTCACCAAAGATTATGGACTTAATGGCGTCCTTGACTACTTTAGATCAGACCGATTCATCTTCACAATGAACACAATGTCTCGCCTCGTTCAAGCGTATCTCGAGGATAAAATTTCAAGCGACTTGGTAAACCAGTACATAGACTTAATTTCCTTTAATAACACAGAATTACAAGAATTTTATAAATCCGTTATGCGTATTCAAACTAATATTTTACCAGAAGATGATACCAATAGTACGCAACGCTTCAAGAGGAATGTGTTAGATCATATTGTCAGCAGTTTCAAATTCGGCGACTTTTTGCCCATTGCCTCCCAGTCCGATGAGTTCGAGTCTAAGGCTCTAGACGCTGAAGAGTACAAAACTGACGAAGTAACAGATTACGATCCTGATGCAGACAAGGCGGACAGCGAAATGATGTCACGACAAGGCTACGGTATGACCTCCTACAAGAGCTCTGGCGGCTACGGCGGCGGCGGTGGCGGCTACGGGGGCGGTGGCGGCGGCTACGGCGGTGGTGGCGGCTACGGCGGTGGCGGCGCGACCTACATGAGTACCCTGGACCCCTATGTGGTATTGGGCGCTCTGGCACTCGGCACTCTTCTCGGTTTCCTGCTCTTCCGCCTTCTCCGTGGCACTCGCAGAGGCCGACGGGACATCGGCGACGGGTCGTTGTCCCTGTGGCTGTCGGACATGCCCGACAAGGTCCTGCCGTGGGACTCCAGCGTCCAGCGCATGAAACGAGACGCCCAAAGCTTCAACGTGACTGGAGAAGAGGAGTTCAACTTGCCGGACTCCTTGAGAGGCAACGTGTGGTCCTCTGACCCCGTGGTGGGCGACGACCTGCTGGAGGAGGACCTCGAGGAAGACGACGTCGCCGACCACCTCAACCACCTGTGGAGGGTGTTCCAGGACTCTCCTGCCTGCATCCACTCGCATCTGTGCAGCGTGGTGGCCAACACCACACCCGGACACCTGACTGGCAAGGACTCCAGCATGGCTCTTCTCATGTGAGTTATGATTTTTATCTTGTCGAAGCCTTAGTAGCCTAATGCACGTTTCATCGCGCTGTAGCCAAAATATACTAGAGGTCGAGAAAAATACAATATGTGATCACTAATTTGCCAATAGACTATAAAAAGCAAAACAAATGGAAGCTTCCAAGTTACCAAAATTGGCACCAAGAAAATTACATATTCTAATTTTCATTTGTATTTAATTTCGTGTTCTATTAAACAATGGGAGTTTCATAAATTTCAATATATTTTGTTATCACTGGTAATAATAGCATATAAAAGGAGTGGGATACTATAACATTTGGACGTTTAGTCTCCTTTAACAAGTATGGCAGCTAATTAATGCATATTAATGTAGTCAGTATGTGTCCCAGCCTAGTGACTGGTAACATAAATCGTTCACAAGTATTTCCCGCTGTCGGGGACAGGAAGCCAGTACTTACCCTTATCGAGGCTTCCCTTAGCCAACTACTGACCTTCCCCAGGGCGCAACTCACAATAATTGCCTAACTCCCGGTAACCTATCTGATGCAAGGTGAAAGGAAATTACATGAAAGAAAGCGAGCCCCATCGTTTATATCTCGCCCAGGGATTGAACCCGGAACCCCCTCGGGTTAATCCTATTATAATTTAATTTAGTTGGTATTCCATAGATTTCACATTTTCTTTCGAGTTCAACAGAAAACGTGATAAGCCAAAGTTTATTTACTTCTTGAATTATAAAAAACCGTGCACACTAGTTCCATTTCATTCTGCTTATTGCTTTCACTTCCTTACATTTGTCTATTGAAACATCGGTCGTCTTTCTCAGCTGTTTCCTATTATTTCATGGGAAATAAACCTCCCTCTTGCCTCTAAAACATTCTTGCGCCTCGTATTCAGTCTCAATTTTTCACCGATTTCTCTTATTTCTGTTTTAAATTAATTCTTATCAAGTGGCCCTTATTTCTTCGTAGTCCACCTTTCTATAAAGAAGCTGCTTGTATTTCTTAAACCGCTCTTCCCACTTGGGTTTCGACTCTAATATACTAGAAAATACCAGCGCACTGCGGCCACCGAAGCCTACTGGTATTTAGAAGTCTATACTCTTTGTATCAACTTCATTTTAGGTGAAGATGAGATCGAATCCGACAGGAGAACTGCCTCCGAATCAATTTGAATCTTTGTATACATATAAAATAAATTTGATGTCACTCATATTCCTGAAACCATTCTAACAAATTTAATGAGTTTTGTCCCACATCACACTATATATATTTACGAATTTAACTTGCCGATTGTTGATAAATGTCTACAGTTAAAAATAATTCGTCAATACAGATGAAGGAATTAATGGTATTTCACTTTTTCCAGGGCATCAGTAGGAAACCTGATGGGCGTGGTGAGGTCAGGTCAACTGGTGGATCACGTGACCAACTCCCTGGTAATGGGCAACCCTTATACCTGCCCCAATCCCATCGGTTGCCACCAACACTTGCTCTAACCCGTGTGAACAATTATGTGACTAGAACAATATGACAGGACAAGGAATAAGAAGAATAGAAATAATGGTAAAGTAAATGGAATAGTGGTAAAGGTAAAAAAAAGGGGAAGAAAATAACAAATATATACAGAGAACGACGAGCAGAATAGAAAAAGGTCACAAGAGACCAAATAATATGATCCAATAAATATAAACAAAATTGGATTTTGTTGACCAGACCACACACTAGAAGGTGAAGGGACGACGACGTTTCGGTCCGTCCTGGACCATTCCCAATCGACTTGAGAATGGTCCAGGACGGACCGAAACGTCGTCGTCCCTTCACCTTCTAGTGTGTGGTCTGGTCAACGTACTTTAGCCACGTTATTGTGACTCGTCGCCTGCAAAATTGGATTTTGAAATCCCGTGTGTATTGAATCTGCGTAATATAATTCTGACCTCGTGTACGCTAACATGTCTGTATATATATGTTGGTTTTGCCCGACACACAAAATTACTAGAGGTAGAAATATATATATATATATATATATATATATATATATATATATATATATATATATATATATATATATATATATATATATATATATATTGGTGTATACTGGAAGCAGGTTTTCTTTCAAACATGTTTCATTGAATATGACCGCATATTCTGTATTTATTATTTTCTGGTTTAGGGCTTCTATCCCTCTAACTATTTTCTTAGCATCAGGGCTTAATTGGAATAGGAGTTCTAGAACTCCTATTCCAATTAAGCCCTGATGCTAAGAAAATAGTTAGAGGGATAGAAGCCCTAAACCAGAAAATAATAAATACAGAATATGCGGTCATATTCAATGAAATATATATATATATATATATATATATATATATATATATATATATATATATATATATATATATATATATATATATATATATATATATTCTGTACAATTTAGTCGTAATTTATCATCGAAATAATTACCTACGATTTGTTCTTCAATGCAGGTTATTTTTTAACACAAATGTTTAATTCCCAGGAGCAAATATAATATTACGATTGTAGGCTGGTATATAAATGAAGAACTTCTAGTAGCACTAACATTATATAATTATTATTATATTGTATCACTTTCAGCACACAACTGAAAATGTTAGACAATCCTCATTTATATAATCGATAGCTTAGATATTTGTTCATAAACTGGTATATGAATAATGATTTATAAATGTGATTCTGTGTCTACTGTGAGCAAGCGGCGTGTGTGTGTGTGTGTGTGTGTGTGTGTGTGTGTGTGTGTGTGTGTGTGTGTGTGTGTGTGTGTGTGTGTGTGTGTGTGTGTGTGTACTCATCTAGTTGTGCTTGTGGGGGTTGAGTTTTGGCTCTTTGGTCCCGCCTCTCAACAGGTGTGCAGGTTCATGAGCTTATTGGGCTCTATCATATGTTCACTTAAAACTGTGTATGAAGTCTGCCTCCACAACATCACTTCCTAATGCATTCCGTTCATTAACTACTCTGACACTAAAAAAATCTTTCTAATGTCTTTATGGCTCATTTGGGTACTTAATTTCACGGGTGTCTCCTAGTGCGCGTGCCCCTTGTGTTAAATAAACTGTCTTTGTCTACACTATCAATTCCTTTGAGAATCTTTTGTGTGGTGATCATGTCCCCCCCCCCCCTAAGTCTCCAGTCTTCCAGCGACGTGAGGTTTAATTCCCATAGTCTCGCTTCATAGCTCATGCCCCTCAGTTCGGGCACTAGTCTGGTGGCAAACCTCTGAGCCTTCTCCAACTTAGTTTGTTTTTGAGATATGGACTCCATGCTGAGCTGCATACTCCAGGATTGGTCTGATATACGTGGTATACAAGGTTCTGAATGATTCTGTACACAAGTTTTTAAAGGCCGTTCTTATGTTGGCCAACCTGGCATATGCCGCTGATGTTATCCTCTTGATGTGGGTTTCGGGTGGGCTTGTGTGTGTGTGACTCGTTTAGATATTCATGCAGGCTCGAGCCAGCTCTAAACTACTACCTTAACAGCCACTACCAAAATAATGTGAAGCTCCCATTTCCCCAAGTTCTGTATCATATCTTCGTTTGAAACTGTTTATGGAGTTCACTTCTACAATGTCTTCATATAGCTCTAGCCTATTGTATATGGATAACAGACTTCAATTGAAGAAGTTCCTCCTGGTATCTTCAATGTTCATGTGTGCTTTTTATTTCATTCCGTGGTTTCTTCTGCTACTGTAACTAATCTCAAATGCAGTCTCCTTTTTTATACTATTCTTGATCTAGCTTATATTCTAATCTGTCAGTTCGGTTTACTTATATCTCCAATAGATATAAGAAATCAAGTAAACTTTCATGCATATAAATTGAAACATAAACAATTTGGTGAATATAACCTTGTGTAACCATACGTGAATACATTTGATGTATATTTTACTGCGTTCCTGCGTGAACACGTGAGACAGTAATTGTATGTGCATCTATGGATATCTTTACATTTTAGAATGTATTTATGGATGATTGTTAATTTCCGTATGTATGTTCATATTAACAGGTGTTTATGCATGTGTATAATTATGTATGCTTGTATTTAAGTGCGATATTATTGGTAGGTATTTGAGTATAGCCTATCCTATTTATGTGACTGCAAGAAGCCTATCCTATTTATGTGAGTACACAGAGCCTGCACTATTTATGTGACTGCACACAGCCTGCACTCTATATGTGCTTACATATGTACTTTTATTCACGTACAAAAAATAATCAATTTTTCTCGACTCTAGCTTTTATTTTGGCCCTTGTTGAATGCTCGGTTAAAATATATATATATATATATATATATATATATATATATATATATATATATATATATATATATATATATATATATATATATATATATATATATATATATATATATATATATATATATATATATATATATATATATATATATATATATATATATATATATATATATATATTGACCTCAGTGGCCTATTGACCACAGTGAATTCTATCTTAGTGTGGGTGTTACTGTATTAATGTAAGACTCACGTAATTAGCCCGTAGCTACCAGAAGTGAGGGAAGCTGTGTATGGAAACGTACTGTAATCAGTTCAAGGACATTCGCCCATGCGAGTTTCCTTAATATTGGGTAGCCTACTCGCCCTCTCGAATGTTTAAAGTATCCTCGCTATTTACTGTAATAATATTAAGCGCTTTTGAAGGGTAGGTGGTTATCTACGGAAGGCTGACCCAGGCTACTGGACTAGAAGTCTCCAAATCGTCAGCAGGTAATCCAACAGTTAACAACACTGGAATGAAAATAAATCTACTCAAGAACAGGGTATAAATTTGTCAGGGGTGATCTTACCAAGATATTAGCAGGATGACTTTCCCCTCCTCCCACGTCCATCTCGAACGGCTTGTGTAGGTTCTTGGTGTACGTGTGTGTGGTCACTTGAAGAGGTAACACTGTGTACAAAACTGCTTGTTGGTGTTACGGGGGGTCGAGGCCCTCTGCCGCTCCAATGGCCATTCCAACATGGCTGGTAACCTTGCGGATGTCCGGATATTATCTTCTCGCAGGCGAAATTTATATATATATATATATATGCAGAACGTTCCCACTATTTATGATTCTCAATGTGCATTGCAATTAGCTGATATTCGTAAAGGAGATATAGCATCTCTCGTTATCTTTATGGGATAGAGGAAATGTAAATGATCTCGATATGGCATCATCAGCCGCGTTCGTATTAGCAATAAAAAAATATTTTAAACTCAAATTTCAAGATCAAAAAGTTATAAAAAAATAACTTTATATTTTCTAATTAGTTTACCTTACAAACTTTGTAGTTTGCAGTCATTTTGGCAGTGAGACAAACGTACTTATTTTTAGAACATATTTAAACACATATTGCTGAGAATTAGAGAGATGATATGCATTTTGAAAGAGAACGAATTTACATAAAAGGAAATAACAAAAAAGTTTCACACAGTATTAAAATTTAAACTCCAATATGATTGTCTAGAAATTTGTACAGCCGCTGATATGAAACAACAATTTTGTACAATTCCTACCTAAAGATAGAAAGGATCCGTTCTATTGTTCGGGTTCATTTGATAGACACGTGGAGAGTCGCCCTGTATATGAAGTCACGTGACGTCTATATTGCCTTCAATAATGCGTTCAGTTATAGTGGTGCAAGTTGTCGAACACCGCTTCTCTACTCCTTCAATCCTTCGGAGATAATCCCAGATCTTAAGACAGTCCTCATATACCGGTATAGTCATAGTAGCTGAGCTCTGTAATGTTTTTTGCGCTACCGCTCACAGGATGAGTATGGGGTGCACAATAAACTAGCCGCCTCCGGCGGCAACAATAAAAAAATCAAAGCTTAGCGTTTTTTTTTATTAATGATTACTCTTCCCCCTCCCGCGGGGTCACAACCGGCTTGACTTGCACAAATTGCTGTAATTTTCCGTAGAATATGTCAATGCATTAGCTGGGGGGGGGGGGGAGTCAAAGAATAGTCAACTGTTCACATTTAATGTTCACCTTCTTCCCACATGCAACAGATACCCCCACTCATCCCCATATACAACAGACACCCCCCTCCTCCCATATACATCAGACACCTCCTCCTTCCCCCTTGCAACAGGCACCACCCCTCCTCCCCTATCATCACGCAACATTGCTCAGTACCTCCGTTGGATTCACCCTGACTGGTTGCTGGGTCCTCCGCTGTTTCCTGATATTCCTAGTGAACGCGACCTCCTCCATATCAGAACCTCGACGCCCCGATCCAAAGTGTTTCGAAACTTCAAATTTGATTTCTGGAGTCCCTAGCTTACATATCCTGCCAGCTAACAGTCAATTAGCCTCACGAATAAAATTCAGAGGCCATTCCCTCGAGCCGGCAGCTATAGCCTAGTGCACAGGAGGAAGACCAATTGCACGTATTACCTGCTGACAGCCAGAATTTGCTGTCACTTTATCT